AGAGTATCCCAGAATCCAAGAACTTTTTGCATCTCTAAAGATTCCTCCCAAAACTAGCTTTTTCCAAACTTTCCTTGGCACATCCATCAGCATTTAGCTTGATATTACCTGTAAGAGGAGGCAACCAATTGATTAGTTTAATTCTTTGATACTCATGGATCCAAGAGAAGGCCTCATGGATCTCTTGAGTATACTGGAACACTAGGCGTAAGCTGTCACTAATGCGAACATCACAATTATCAAAAACAATTTTATTTCTACCTTTCCAAATGAACCAAAGGGTGACAGTGAATCATATGTTCCAGTTGATACTTGCAAGTTTAGTTTTATCACAAAGATTAAAAGAAAGCCAAGCATCCAGAGGCTTATCAATGCCATCCCTAATCCATCGATCATTTTTCAAATTTTTCCACAACTCCCTTGAGTAATAGCAATCTCTAAGGAGGTGGCTCATACTTTCCCCATTAGAATGGCATCTAGGACAAAGATCATTGCAGTCAAAACCTTTGCTGACTTTGAGTTGGTTTGTGAGGAGTCGGCCATGCATAAAAAGCCATAAGAAGCCTTTGAGTTTTTGAGGAATTTTTAATTTCCAAATCCAATTCCAACAAAAATTATGATCTTCAACATTAATGATGAGGTCATAAGCAGATTTGGAAGAGAATCTACCTGAATGCATGAACTCATCTTTATAAAATCGAAGCTATAAAATAATTTTGTTGGTGGTAGGGAATAAGTTTGTTTGTCTTTGGATTTGGATCTCTTTTGGTTTTATAAGGGCTGAAGGAAGTTACTCTCTAAAAATTTAGGGTAAATTACATTTATCTCTCGAAATTAAGTCCCATGAGTTTAGCATAATTATATTAATATCATTTTTATCAAGACTGACAGTCAAAACTAATGTAAATGATGGATAGATACTAAAATAGTAGAGATAAATATACATTTTAGTATAAAAGAAATAATAATATTATTTTTTCATTCATACAACTAATGAATTATTAATAAAAAATATGAGAATTAAAACTTCAAAGAGATTGATATAAATATGTAAAAATTATAAGATTAATTGTATTTCGTGAAATTTCAAAGTAGGTGCAAAAATCAAAAGGATGGGCATGGGATTATTATTGTCTTCATATGTCTTTTTGGCCATGTTTGTTTCGTGATTTGAGTGGCCGGATTGGATTACCATGGTTGTGGGTCCCACCCATAGCATGTTTGGAAATGAAATGGGAGAGCAGATTAATAGTCTAAGAGCATCCACAATGGATGTGTTAGTGATGGTGTTAGTGTCAGTGGCCAAAATTTAGCTAGCTACAGTCACCTTTGGATCTCATAATGGACGTGTTAACGTGTGTGTTAGGGTCAGTTGTTAACTTGTTTGTTATTTGTTTGGTTACGATTTGAATGTAGAGTTTTGAAAGTAGTGTAGAGTTTCGAATTATGTGTTTGGTTATGAGGTTTGAAAATAATTTTTGAATTAAGTTTTGAATTATATATTTGGTTACGATTTGAGTGTGAAGTTGTGTTTTGATTTTAAAATATTAAAATTTAAAAAATCAAAATATTTATAGAATAAAAAAAGTATTTAAAATAAAAAAATTAAATAAAAATTATATATTTAAAATAAAAAATAAAATTTTCTTTAACATTTTTTAATATTTTTTAAAAATAAATTCAAAAAATGTCATTTTGTAGGTCAACAGAGAAATAAAGTGAACAGAGGAATAAGGACAAGGGTAGTATCGTCTTTTTGTGCTCAAAAGTAAGGGTAATAAGGTTACTTATTCTATGCAAATAACACCATTTGTTCTAATTTGACGGAATGAGAGAATCTGGAGAATGTCAGGTAAAGTATGAGTGGTTACTGTAATTATTGAAACTACAAGGAAGGTCCCTGTATTTGTCAGAAATCTCAGGGGAGATGAGTGTAATTTTCCATTTAGTTTTCTTTCTATACTTTTTAAGATATAATTTTGATTTTATAAATATTTTATAATTAATTATTTTGTTTCTCACCAATTTTTATTACTTTTGATGAGAAATAAAATATACTCAATAATAGAGTTTCTTATCTTATCATTTCTTACATAATTTATAAACCAAACAGGGGAAATAATAGCACAATGTAGGCTTAGAAAAAAAAATTACAAATTAATAATAAAATTTATAAATTTTAATAATTAAATTGTTATACTTTTTCATGATTTTAATTTTTTCCATTATTTCTTACTAAATCATTTCATCCAAACGAAAGGATAAAGAGGAGAGCAAGTATAATTTAAAAAATACATACATACATATATTGACAATTTCAATGAAAAAAAAAAGAAAAAAATTTATTTTTATAAAATTTTAGCTATCCACAAATATTTGGGTAAATTAGAGCATCTCCAGTAAAAATATTCAAAATAGTTATTCAAAATTTTACTTTACTATTTTAACTAGTCATTTTTTTAATATGCATTCCAACAAGGCTATCTACTTTAGATATCTTTCTCCTTTTAAATATTATTTTTTATTCTTTCTTCTTTCAAATATAATATTTATTAAAAAAAAAAGAAGCTAAAGAAGACACCTGTCAAGAGATCAACGCGAGGAACGAAAAAAATAATAAAAAGTTATGAGGCTAGAGCACAGTGCCTCATCTTCTTTGACGAGTTACTGTAGTGCAAAATCATTTTAGCAAGCTTCTGATGAGACTGTTGGAGACTCATTTTCAAGCTTGAAACTAGCTAAAATAACAAAATTGATGATATAACGATTCTGCTGGAGATGCTCTTACACTGCTGCTTTTTTTATTTGGCTAATTTCTCACTTTGACCTTTAAAGTTTATTTTTTTTCACTTTAGTTCTTTATATTTCAAAAGTTTCCCAATTTATTCTTAAAGATAATTTCTATTAAAAAGTAGATAAAAAATAACACATTAACAGTCACATGGTATAAAAATATTTTATTCCTCTGATACAAACTCAAATCTCAATAGAATAATATATTTTTTTATGTTGTGTGACAATTATCGTGGTATTTTATGTTTAAACAAAAATAAATTTTAAAAGTAAATTAGAAAAAAATTGAAACATAAAAATCTAAAATGAAAAAAAAAATAATTAAAAGTTAAAGTGAAAAAGTGATTTTAATTTTCATGCAAGTAAGAGAAGTGGAGATGAAAAGAAGGTGAGAGAGAGAGTACCTGGATCAGGAAGTGGAGTAGGCAAGAATTGAAAAGCAAAACGTTGGCACATCCTCTGAAGAGTAAGAAGCCATCGATCAGCACCATATGCCAATCCCCGACATATGAAATCTGTATACAGCCTATGAGTTACCACCTTATCATCCACTTCCACATGTTCCACCCATGTTATCTACCATTTAAACAAAAATATAAAGCTCCATGTTAAACGTAATAATGCAATATAAAAAGATGCAATAGAAAAGGTATTGACATTTATTTTCTAGTGAATTTTTTGAAAAGCAAAAAATTATGGAACTGCATAATCGTTGTTACATAATTAGGCATTTAAATAGTCAATGATGGTATACCCTAGTATATTAGTGTTATATATATATATATATATATTTTGATAACTCAGAATGTTTGGGTCAATTTGCTCGCACTATGACTAATCTCTAGAGAACCAATTCTATCGTCCACTATCAGAGACCCATTTAAAGCCAGAGTAAAGTTCCGTATGGACCTATATTAGTGTTTTATGATGACCAGGGGTGCTTAATATATATATATATATTCACACAAAGTCCTTGGAAATTGGATTGACATTTTTTATGTTATTGATAAAAACCAATGTACATAACTATCAATAAAAAGTTTCAAGGAATTGGCCTAGCGGTCAAGGCAAATCCACAAACAAATACCAATAAAGAAAGGTGTATGCACAAAATATCACAGTAAATTAAATGATCTTAACTAAGTTGACACAGAAGAGTAAGTTCATTCATCTGAAGCATTACACTGATAGTCTAGACTCTTTTTTTTTATTTTATTTTAATTATTTTGAAGTTTTAAATGTTAATTTTTTAAATTCACTCTTTCATAATCATTGATTATGTAATGAAAATTTTCACATCTTACCTGTAATAGAAAATAAATTATTTTAAAGTTTAAAATGTTAATTTATTAATGTCACTCTTTAATAATCATTTATTATATAATGAAAATTTCCACATCTTGCCTGCAATAGAAGCTAAACTAGTTTTAAAATTTAAAATATTAATGTATTAACGTCACTCTTTCATAATCATTGATTATATAATGAAAATTTTCACATCTTACCTATAATAGAAAGGATCAGAAAGTACTGCTACAAGAGCCTTGTAACATTACGATGGTAGTGAAATTATGTTTCTGCTATTGATGTAATATAAGAAAAAATAATAATAAGAGGTGAAATTTTTCATTCATTTCCCAAATTAATTGTAGATGGATTATCAATATTCTGATGAATTTGGCTCTTCTCTAGCACCATCTTTTTCAATAGAGTTGAAATTGTCTTCAGTTCGGATGTATGGTTCATCATGAGTCATATTTGTTAATTTGATTCATTTACTTTTTAAGTATTAATGTGTAGATTGTCGGTCAAAAATATCAAAATAATTTAATAATCATAACCACATAATTTTATTATAATTAAAAAAAAACAGAAAATAAGACATTTTTTTAAAAGACTAAAATTTCTTTATATTTATTTATAATTTTAAAAAATAGAAAATAAGCATAATTTTGAAAATAAGCTGCTTATTTGTTTAAAAGACAAACGTAATGAAATCATATGATTATGATTATCAAATCAATAGATGATACAACACTAAGGCCTTGTTTGATTAACAAAATTAATAGTAAAATGATTAATAATCTCATGAATTAGTGTATGATTAGTTATCCAATTAAATTAGTTAGATAAACATTTATTATGTATTTATTTATTTATTTTTCCTTTTCATACTTGAAATTATAATTGTTGGCATCTCTCAATATTAAAAACTCACCACTTTCGTCAGATTAAATGTCCACCGTGCATATAATTTGATTAATAAAATTTGTAATTAAATATGAACTAATAATCTCAATTTTATACTATAATCATACTAATCACGCAGACTATAAAAGGAGTAGGAGAGAAAATGATAGTAGTAGTAATAGTAGTACTAACCGTGGAGCAGCCATTGTTCAAGTCTCTGATCAAACATCCAGAAGGAAGTCTCCATGAGTGCGACGGAGGTGGAGCCGACGGAGTGGCTGAGCTACTATGTGGTTGGTGGTGGTGTTGATCTTGTTGTTGTGTTGAGCTCTCAATCTTATCAAATATATCATATGATACTTCCACTATCATCCATTCATTTTTTCCCATTTCTGCACAGTATCGAAGGAAGTAGAAATCTCTTGGCCCTACCAGTGGTGAAAGTATATGCACTTGTTCATATACCTGTTTCAATTTCAATCCTACACATTATTATTACTTCACTTCAATTGTATACTTAATAATTAATGGAAAAGCAACTTAAAAATGTCATATATATGAACCAGTTGCAATGAACCGCTAAGGTTTCTTGGTATTCGATTTCCAAGTTCTTGAAGAATCGTTGCCTTTGTGATGATCGTTGGAAAAAGATCGACCCTTTTACTCTGCCCAATTATTTAATTATTGGGTTAGCAATATTATAATACCAATATGAAGATTTCAAGTAGGATTTTCAGGAAAAGATCCAACCTTTAATCATATAGAAACAAAAAATTCATACACAATTTTTATAAAGAATGATGTGACTCCATGTATACTGTCCTCTTTAAGATAACACACTTATAAAGATGATTTTTATTTATCAAAATGACATTGTTACATCATACTCTTTTTTTTTTCTTTTTTTTTTTAATTTTTTTTTTATGAATAACATTTTTCTATATTACACTAAAAATCTTCAAAGTATGTGGTCTATTACACTCTAGTCTATAATTTTATAAAATTTGCACATAGGTTTTGAATGAATGTACTGTATTACATTTTAGTCCGTAATGTTAGTACTGTTTGAAATCAACAATGAGAGAAGATTATTTTTCAAAATTTTACATAAAACCTCAATAAAATTAAAAGGACCAAATATGTATATAGTCCCCCAAAATATAGATTTTATTAAATTTTAGTTTCGAAAATATGTCCTTTTTTATTTTCAAAAGCACCTCTCATCACGTTATTGATTTTGTATAAATTAAAATATAATAGATTGCATATTTGAAAATCAAAATTAAAAACAATCACATACTTTGGCACAAGATTAAACTTTAAAATATGAGATGTGAGTGAGGAGAGAATTATGAGAACTAACCGAATCCAGCAACATTTCAACCAATTGAGCTCCATTCATTCTCACAATGGCCTCCTCTCTTGATGACTCGAATCGAGTACGTGAACTTTTGAGGTGACTTGTTCTCGAGAAAATCTTTTCATAATTTTCTCTCTGAATTATGTGTCTCCCATCAATGGGATCTTTTATCCACAGACGATCCATGATGAAAAGGCTCGTCAGTTCATCAATGGCATTTGAAACAGTCTGAACCATTCGCAATGTGTCCGAGTCTTGCACCTGCTTTAACTGGCTTTTCAATGTGTGATCAACGGAATTTTCTGAGCCATTGGATGAAGATCCAAGTGAAAGGCCTCTCATCCTTTTTCCCAAGAAATTTTCTGAGCCATCCGATGAAGATCCGATAGAAGGCAGCCGTTGGAGTGACGGATTTTTTGAAACTGAGATGCCCATGGTGGCAAGAAGGTTGCATAGGTATTCATACTGTAAAATTTTCTACGATTATTGAATAAAATGCTTAGACTATACATAGAATATTATCAAATATTGAGAGTTCAAACTAACTAGACAAACTAATCAAAAAATAAAATAAAATAACTAAACAAATTAATCCAAACAAATCGTTTTTCATTATTGTGCTATGCCAACTATTATATGCTTAATTAAATAAAAATAATTCATATGTTTATCAGCAAATTATGCTAAACACCCTTGAGGTTTAGAAAAGCTAGTTTCAAATTTTTAGGTAATGACAATGACTTCCATTTTAGTAAGGTTTATGGAATTGAAACTAATGCAGATATTGTGAAAATACAAAGATAAATATGATAGAATATACATTTGAGTGTAAAAGACGTAATAATACAATTTTTTTCATCCATATCCTAATGAATTATTGATGAAAATTGGACTAAATGTTACGTGAATTAATTTTTTATTTTTTTTTAATTAGCAAAAGAAAAGAAACTTTAGTGATGAATCAAAAGTATACATATAGCGACAACACATCAGCAAAGGAAAGATGAGTGCAAAGTGCATCATAGTGAAACATACCAATCACAATTATGTTGGCACCAATATGAACAGCCAATCATATGTTAGCACAACACTAAGCCAATGTAATTTAAACAAAATTTACTATATATATATATATATTTTAATTTTAGAGAAAGTCAATATAATTTACCTATTTTTTTTTTTTTTTTTTAACTATCGCGTTTAATTAATGTGAGTTTAAATATTCTCCTTTGAATATTTTTATTTACTATTCTTTATCAGTTGCATCTATAGATTTTTATTATACAATTAAACTAATTTAACATGTTATTTCTCAACTTGTATTAGTGTTATTCTTATTATTTTACGAATATATTTATTTTTCCTTATATCTTTCGTAATTGTTTAACATATGTACATATATTCTCATCAAAACTACAGTCATTTTAAGAAGGGAAAATTATGATGGTAGTCTATGTACGTTGGTCCTTTTGTCATTTTAGTCCCTATAATATTAATTGACTCAATTTTGATCATGAATATGACTTTGTCTCAATTTGGTCCTACAGGTTACAACACTTACCATTTTTTAATAAAAAATATACACATAAGTGTTATGTGCCATATTTTAAGAGCAAAATTATAAACTTATCTAACTCAATGAGTTAATTTCAACCAATTTAATGATAATTTTTTTTAAAAAATACTAATGATATTATCAATTGCACCAAATTGACACAAAATCTAAAATTAAAGGTCAAATCGAGTCAATTAAAAGTGTAAAAATCAAAGTAATATAAGAGGTAAAATATATAGACTATCGGTATAATTTACTCTTCTAAGAATATATTGTTTCTTAATTGTTGAACATTCTTGCTGGAACAACATTGCTTACCTTATAACTGCTGTAATAAAATTTTACTTTCAACTTTTTGTTAGTATTGGTGGATCAAACAATAAAATAAAAAACAATAATAAAAGCAAAACCTTGTCATTGAGTTGGCAATTTTCCAAGCGAAGTTGGTGTAGGTGATCTTCTTTGGTGCAAGAAATACCCTTACATGCTTTGCAATACTCATCCTTTAGCATCTCTCTCGCCGCTATGTTCTCTATTTTCAGCCTTTCATTCTCTGCCCGCAGTGCATGCCCTTCTGTTTTCTCATTCTGTGTCTGCAATGCGCACACACACATCTATACCAAATGAAAATGAACTATCATACATAAGACCAAATCCACACGTACATATTGTTTGGTTCACTTTTCAAAAATTTGAGTTTTTTAATTTTTTTATAAATTTTTTTTAGTGAATTTTTTTTTTAATATTTTATGTAAATTTTTTGCAAAAAGCTAAACAACAATCCGTTTTAAACCAAAAAAAATAAAAATTTTCCAAAAAAAAAAAAAAAAAACTTTAAAAAATTTACCAAATACAATATATATATATATATATATATAAATTTAGTATATTTTTATATTTTGTTGTATTCAATGAAATTTTAAATATTTTGATACAAATTTTATAAGAAAATTATCGAAAATATTTTAAAGAAAATTATCGAAAATTGATAAAAATATATTAAAAAATTATCGAAAATATAAAAATACGACTTTTAAAGAAAATTATTTTTAAAAATTTCAAACCAAACAAAATAGCGTCCATAACATAAAACAATAATACTACACTAACCATCTCATATTATATTTAGGGACAAATTACACCGATAATCCTTATATTTTGGCTCTTGCATAATTTTGGTTTTTGTAATTTCAATTGCCTCTATTCTGAATTTATGATTGTGACTCAATTTGGTCCAATTGATTAAAATAGTTAATGTTTTTAATAAAAAATGTGTATATAAGCAACTTGTGTTATGTTTTTATTAAGCAGAATTATAAATTTGTTCAATTTAATGAGTTAACTTCAACCAACTCAATTACTATTTTCCTTCAAAAACCTTAATTGGTGTTCTCAAGTAGACCAAATTGACACAAAATTGAGCTAATTGAAATTACAATAATCAAAATAATATAAGGGACAAAATATAAGAACTACCAATTTAATTTTTCCTATATCTAATATATCATTTCATGTGATTCCTTCATAACCTTTGATGAAATAAGACCCACATGAGGCTCTATTATAATCTAAAGGTTGTGAAGGTACCACATAAGATGATATATCAAATGTGATAAAATAATGAGACAATAAATGTAACATTACTCATGAGAAAATCGATAGCACTTTTTTTTTTAGGGAAAATTAAATGTCAAAGGTATTTTCAAAAATTAATTACAAATTTATAAAAAAGTTTATGGTTTTACATTTTTATATTTATAAAATTTATCATTAATTTGTAAATATTTTTCGAAATATACAGTGATGTGAAATTCTTCTTTTTTTGTCACCAAAAAAGTAACATTATATTGTATGTTACGATGTACATAAAATTACAAATCTGTGAAAGCAACACACACACACCCACACACACAAAGTCCAAAAAATGTAGTTCGGAAAAATTAGTGAGGAGGACCTTGACAAGAGTCCTCTTGTTTTGAAACCAAAACTTGATCTGAAGAGGTGTAAGTCCCACTTCCTTTCCCAGCTGACACCTCTGTCTTTCATTCGGGTGTTGGCATTGCTCAAAAAATCTTCAATCACCACCATCAACAACATAAAACCTTATTAGTAAGAGAGTGTGTTGAGAATATAAATAACAAAATTATGTTATATAAAAAATCATTTTAATATCACTTTAGAAAAACCATCTAGATGATCTAATCTTCTCTTTAAACATCAATAGGTCTTGGTTTCATATCTAACGGATAAAACATTATATACTTGCATGTGTTTATCTGAATTATTAAGAAAGTTTGCATGTGGGAATATAAATAATAAAGTTGTTTATTTTTATAACGGCTTAAACTTTTAGATGAGTTATGATATGAGTTAGTAATTAACAATTCAATAGAGAGGGAGAGAGTATCCTAAATATATGTTCGATTAGCAGGATTATAGTATAGGATTGAGATTCTTAGTCTACAGACTCATAATCTCATGTTAGATTATAAATTTTATTAACCGGATTGCATGTATAGTGGACGTTCAATCTGAAAAAATTGATAAATTTTTAATATTAAGAGGGATTGAGGATTATAATTTTAAGTATGAGAGCAAAAAAATAAAATGAATGTATAATAAATGATTATGCGACAAATTTAATTGAATAGCTAATCTTACACTAAAACACGGGATTATTAATCATGTTAATCAAATAAGGTGAAAGAGGATAAATCAGTTCAAAGAAAAGATTTCTTAAAACTAATCCAGGATAACAAAGCTGTGTCACGGTAGTTCAAAATTCATCAGGTACAATGTAATAAATCAACATGTTATAAACAAAGAAAACATTAGCAAAGAAAAGTTTGTAGAGAGAATTTGAATGATCAACTGATAGATGAAAAAAATAAATAAATAAACAGGTTGTAAACACTATATCTATAATGTCATACACACATACAGCGGACCCAAAAAAAAAAGAAAAGAACTTTGGCCATACGTTTCAAGCATTTGAGTCTGGTAAGGTGAATGTCTATAGCGACGCTTTCTACCCCTTGAAGAACTTGATGATTCAAACTCTTCTGAAGACATGAATTCAACCATTGATATGTCTCTCTCTATGATCTGCTACAATAAAATGGTTATATATGAAACATGTTACCAAAGATTGACTTTGAATTGATAAAAAAGTCAATTCATTTAGAGAACAAACAGCACAGAAGAATGTAACCCAAAAAGAGGCGGTGTTGCGAAGATGTTTAGATCTGCGGATCGCCGGACAGAGGCGGTGTTGCGAAGAGGTCGGATAGAGGCGGTGGTGGTGGAGGATCGCCGGACAGCGGAGGCCGGACAGAAGCGGCGGAAATTTTTTTACAAAATAATGGGAAAGTATAACATTTTAATTATTAAAATGTATAAATTTTAACATTAATTTATATATTTTTTTTGTGCGCCGCTATGTTATTTCCCCTTTATAATACCACCAAGGATCTTTTAGAGTGTTTTTTTAAAAAAAGTTTTCTAAAGTGGTTTATTGTGTGGTTGAGATTTAATACTGAAAAATTGATGTGACTTGTCATTAAATCTCAACCATACAATGCACCACTCTAGGAAATTTTAAGAAAAAAAAACTCTAGAGGATCATTGCTCTTATAATACACTCTCAATTCTTTTATTTTTTAGTAAATTATACTTTCAGCCCTTGCATGTTTACTAAATTCGCACTTTAGCCTCTTAACTTTTTAGTTGTGATAGTTAATTTTTTACACTTTAAGGCCTCGTTTAAGAATATACTATTTTAGTAATTTTTTGATTTTTTATGAAAAAATACAGAAAAGTAGAAAGAGTGATGTGACAATGTATAGTTTTAAATTTTTTGACTAAAATATATAATTGACAAATGAGGTCAAGTCAAGTTGTAATGCTACTTTTTCCTCTATCTAATGTTAATAAAGTTTAACAAAACTTATCATGTGAGTCATATGTAACATTTTTCTTATTTCACTAACACTTTTACATTTTTATTGAAATTTTATTTTAATCTTTACACTTTTATCAAAATCTCATTGTGGTCTCGCTATTTTTAATTAGTTTCCTTCAGTTTTATTACACTAAAACATATAAAGGTTTTAAAGACCAAACTCTTCCATCTCCAAAGTGTAAAAAATACAAATTGCAAAACTATTACAAACCAATTTCAATTGTTATGTAAGATGTCAAGAAAGGTCGTCCCCCCCCCCCAAAAAAAAAATTTATTGACAAAATTTTAAAAATATCGCTGATGAACACATTTTTAGACAATCAACTTCAAACCATAAGGTGAGTTGTGTGGTAGTTTTGGTCTGTTTATTGGTGAAGATGGGCTACTGATAAAAGAGTACTTACTCTGTGGTGGACTCTGTTGCTATATATATGGAATGCTGTTTTGATCTGTCAATTAGTTTTGGTCTGTTTATTTCATTATTTTATTGCTGTTTGGTAGTTTTGGGTTGTTTGGTCTGTATCAGGTTTGGTTAGCTTTTTATTGGGTGAGGCTGTTTTTGGTGTTTATAGTTGGTTTCTCACCAACTTGTGATGGTGTGCTATCATATGATTAAGCGGTCTTATTGGTGCCAACCTAGTTGGAATTGATTAGGTTCGCTATGATACTTTTTACACTCATCCTCCTATTTTTTTTTATTGATGAATCTATTTCGTCAATAAAGTTCCTTTTCTTTGCTGATAAAAAAAAAAAAAAAAAAAAAAAAAAAACTTCAAGCTATAAGGGTTTTTTTTTTGACAAAAAATTTAGTCTCAAAAGGGATAATAGTTTGTTATTAAATGTCCAATGTCATCGCTAAAAATATAATAACAACAGTTTTGAAAACTCAAATATTTTGTCTTTAAAACTTTAGTGTGTTATAGTGTTTACAGTAGTTGGACGAATGGATAACATATTGCAACTTGACATAAAGTATAAGAAGTTAACTATCAAAATTGATAGTAAAGAGACAAAGGTATGACTTTAGTGAAAGCGTATGGGTGCTAATAAACTTTTTTTTGGATAAATTACAGTGACCTTTTAGATAAAATATAGTAAGTGTTATTGTTTTTATATAATTGCATTGGCTTTCTCTAAGATTTTAATTCACATAATACTTAACCCATTTAATCAATAATTCATTAATCATATGAATTGAAAATTAATATTGTCATTTTGTTTATACTTAAATGTATATTTTTTGTTATTTATATTTTTTATCTTCACACAATTATATTATTTTTAATCACTACAACTTTATTAAAAAATTAATTAATACAATTATGTTAAAATTATAAAACTATTTATTATTATTATTTTTAATTTCAGGAAAAAAAAAAGAAAAAAAGTCATGGAATTAATAATCTTTTTATTTTTTATGAGAGAAATCATCCTAAACAAAGTCTTTTAAACCGGACCATCCTAAGAAGATAAACTCTCAAAAAGTCAAAAGTACCAGGAAAAAAGAATCTTAGGAAGGGCCCTACCAGAAAAAAACGAAAGATTGATAGATAGAGCTTTGCTGGCAAAATTAATCCTTTAAAACTTTGGTGGGTGACATTTATTCTTAAGAGATGTGTTTGTTGAGCCCTTTTTATTTTTTTTTATTTTTATTTTTTTAAATTTTTCAATTTTTTTTTATAAAATTTTTCAGTGTATTAGCCACGCTCCCCCCTTGGGCCCCACTGCAATGTAAGAAATGATCTGTCACTTTTTTTTTTCCCATTTTTGTATTATTTCTCTAATGTGAACGCCCCTAACCAAAATGGAAAATGACTTAAGATTACTTCAGGTCCACTCAGTTGATTTAATAATTTGTTGGGCATACTCATGATTAATTTTTGGTAACTAGCAGAATCTGAGGCATTAACAAGTCATAGGTGAAACTTAGGCTAGGTTTGAGATGTTTTAAAAAAGTGTATTTTTTGATTTATTGGCTTATATAGGTTGGGTTTGGGTTGGGTTTGATGTGATGTATTAGAGAGGTGATGCGATTTAAATAAAATGATGTAACTTAAATAGGATAGTAACTTTTTAACTTTTTGTATTATTTAATTTATGCCAAACTAACCTTTAATGCTATATGTGTAACGGTTATCATTTGACTTGAAAATGTGTCAGCAAGATCAGTCTTTCTTGGCCCAATCCCATATGAGTTCCGATTCTACGTACAAGTCCAGTTCATTAACGTGTAAGAGGTCGCCATCAGGTCAACTTGTGAGCCAGTCAAAAAATAAGGGGAAAAAAAAAAATTAATTGTAATTTTAACAATTTTTTTTATTAATGAATTTTTTTTTGATCAACAAAAAACTTTATTGATAGTATCAAACATACATACATATGGATAACATCAATAAAGCGGATGCGAGCAAAAAGTATCATAGCGAAACCCTTCATCCTAACTAAGTTGGCACCAAGAAAAACACCCAATTATATGCTATCTCAAGCCAAAGGGGTGGCGAGAAGCCAAACCCCAAAAAAATAGAAAACAAAAAAACTACAAAATAGTAGCATCCAAGTCACAAAACAACCATACCAGCTTTTAAGACTCAAACAACAAAACAGAACAAAAAAAACCCATCCCCACCAGACTGAAGTTAGCCACAACAACAGCTCAATCCACAAACAAAGAAAATACCCACAACAGCAACGCCATCTTATCAGCAGCTCAGAACCTACACCAGAAGATAAAACCTAGATCTTGCACCCACAGAAGCACCTCCATCTTCATCTGAGTCTCAAAACAACCATACCAGCATCTGAGACTTAAACAACAAAACAGAACTCTCCCAATAGACACAGCAACAGCTCAATCAGCAAACAAAGAAAATACCCACAGCAGAACTCTCTCATACCAAAAGCAATTCATGAGGCTCCTAAACAGCTTCTAACTTGGTGAAAATTGAACACAACATCATTAACTAAAAATGAGGCACTAGTAAAATAGGATCTCATCCAAATTGATATCCTCACCTTTATACATTCACAGAGATCATGAATATGAGGTTGGGCTGCCTTAAAAACACATTCATTACGGTATCTCCACACAGACCACAATACTGTTGCTGGTAAGACCCTCCACACCTGCTTGACTTTCTTCTTAAACTTCCAACCCAACCACCAAAGTAATAAATCATCAATGGATCTGGGAATAGCCCACTGAAAGCCCCACCATTCAGCTATAGTAGACCAAATCTTCTAAACAAAAGGACAATGAAGCATAACATGGTGAATTGGTTCATTGTCCTGTTGACAGAAAATACAAGTCTGAACATTTTCCCCTACCAAAATTCCAAACCTATGCAATAGCTCTTTTGTTTTTAGTCTACCTCTCCAAGCTAACCAAGAGAAAAATTTTGCTTTAGGTGGTGAGAAATTATTCCATATAATATCAACTGATCTGTGACAGGGACCATCATTAATCAAACCCCAATCTTAAGCAAGATGAATCTTGAAGGTACCCAACTGTGAAGACTTCCACCCCAAACAATCAACTAAATCACTTCTTAGAACAGGGCCAGTCCCCCAAAATAGTGACAAATCTGGCCAATTCACCTTCTTCTCAAGCCCGAAATTGTCTTCTGAAATTGAAGCCCCATCCAGATTGACTAGACCTTCGAGCTACCTGTATGCTCAAGGAACTCACTTTATCAATAACCAACTAGAACAATCTAGGAAATTGACTTGATAGATTTGTTGAACCCAACCGAATGTCTGACCAAAAACTAATCCTTTCTCCATTACCTATTAAAATTTCCACTAATCCTTGTAAAATTGAAATAGACTTCCGTTTCTATGGGCCATAGATAATATATCCTTCCAAATCTGAGATGCTTGGCCATGAGCAATCTGATTAGGGAACCATCTTCCCCCAAAAGAGCCATACTTCTCACAGATAACCATCTTCCACAATGCCTCATTCTCTTGACCGTACCCCCACCACCATTTCAACAGCAAACTGTCATTAGCGAGCCTGAGATTTTTTATTCCCAGATAAGGGTAGCATGTTTGCTTAGCTTTGTTTAGCTCCATTTCAGAGGATATTTGGTGTTATTTGGTCTTGCTACATCTCTGTTTTGGGTTGGTTTGATGGCATCTTGCATGCTTCACATACTTGTAGAGTAATCTTGCATGTTTGCACGACATGCATCTTGCATTTAGACCATCATGCTTGCATGTTTTGACTTAACTTTGAGAAGTTTTTAGCCTTG